TTTTTTTTTTCGACTATGAGACATAGAAACCCCAACTTTCAACTTCAAGTCCCCAAACTTAATCAACATTGATTAAGATAATCACAAGTACACCTCAACAATACAAATCGCCTCAAAACCAACTCACCACAAATAAGTCACAAAAATATCAACAATCATGCCTTTGTCCCCAAAATAAAAACACCTTAAGAATTTAACCAAATAAAATTAACTCAAGCCATTTAAACTAGCACAATAAATCCAATCCGACTCTCATGTCATCATCGCAAAATTCCACGTACATGCAATCTCACGCTCACGCACTACAAATATCATGCAAATTAATCTAAGAACTCAAACTCTAAGGGGCAAAAATATAATAACATAATAAATCATGAATGCTCACCAAGAAATACCTCCCCAAACTTAGAGTTTGCATATATCATCAAAACTCAAATAAACAAAAACGGAGGTAAAAGAAACGAGTTCACCTTAGTCAACGCGAAGAAGTCGCTGAACCATGCACACCATTGGGTTGCCTCCCAACAAGCGCCTCTTTTTATTGTCGTTGGCCCGACTTATTGCTTTCTTTCATCAAAAGATCCATGGCGGCTTCGGAGGTGGCCTCAAGGGAGGCACCAATCTCACCATGCCATGTTTGACGGCATCTTCTATCCTCGGTGTTGGGTGCTTCACCGGATCTTTTCTCCATGACGCTAATTCCTCAAGGATGTGTAGCAACCCACGCTCACTCACGGTCACCATCTCATGAAACTCCCACTTACACCTTTCGTTTTGCTCGATCGTCTCAAGAGGAGGTATGTGAAGGCCCAAGACATGCTTCAGTGCATCCTTGGTTCTTGATTCTCATCTCTTGGCTCTTGATTCTCGCCTCTTGGTTCTTGATGCTCGCCTCAACACTTTGTTGAAAGTTAAGAGTGTTAGCCGTCAACTCCTTCATCAGCTCCTCGAGCGACGGACCAGGATCTCTCTCAATTAATGGCTCACAGTGTTCTTGCAGAAATCTCAACGT